GCTTTTTCAGCAAGCGGGTCTGGCCTAGGGAGAATTTTAAATAGGGACAATTTTAATTAGAATTTTAAGGGTAACACAGCGGTAAATATTTGTTTTTAATTGGTTTTTATTGGGGATAGTGTTTGTATCGTTTTAATATGCTGTAAGCCGCCCTGAGTCCTGTTGGGAGAAGGGCGGCATATAAGTTTAATAAAATAAAATAAATAAATAAATAAACCTTCAGAGCTTTGAGGTAGCACTGGAGAAGAACATTTGTGTAGGTTTTGTGATTTAAAAAATCTAGAACACATTATAATATTAAACTAGGATGAATAATCCAAATAATAAATATATTGATCTTTCTAGGATAGTGGTTAGAAGGACAATCAGACAACAATGGGTGTTTCTTCACAAAGTTCAGTTCTCTTGTGGAATCATGAATGATGGGCCTTTTTTTTTAAAGATTGACATGAGAACTGAGTGATTTCACATAAATTTAACACTGCCTTAATCTGTTTTCCTGCATCCAGACACAGAAGATTGCTTCAAATGTCCATCTGATCAGTATCCAAACCAGAAACAAGATGAATGTTTTCCCAAAATGATCGTTTTTTTGTCTTATGAAGAACCTCTGGGCATCTCCTTAGCCACAAGTGCCATCTTCTTCTTCTCAGTCACAATTTTAGTATTAAAAATATTCCACCTGCACAAAGATAGTCCCATAGTCAAAGCTAACAACCGGGACCTCACCTATGCTCTTCTCATCTCTCTTTTGCTCTGCTTCCTCTCACCTTTCCTATTTCTTGGTAAGCCCGGGGTAATGACCTGCTTTCTTCGGCAGCCAGCCTTTGGCATCATCTTCTCGCTGGCTGTTTCCTGTGTGTTAGCCAAAACTATTACTGTGGTGGTAGCTTTCATGGCCACCAAGCCAGGATCCAATATGAGGAGGTGGGTGGGAAAGAGGCTCACTGGTTTTATTGTCCTTTCCAGCTCTTCCATCCCAGTAGGCATTTGTGCTATATGGCTAACAATCTCTCCTCCATTCCCAAATTTGGACATGGACTCACTGACTACTGAGATGGTAGCAGAGTGCAAGGAAGGTTCTGTTGCTATGTTCTATCTTGTCTTAGGGTACATGGGAATTCTGTCCATAATCAGCTTCAGTGTTGCTTTTCTAGCTAGGAAGTTGCCAGATAGTTTCAACGAAGCCAAATTCATCACCTTCAGCATGCTGGTATTCACCAGTGTTTGGTTGTCATTTGTTCCAACTTACCTGAGCACCAAAGGAAAATATATGGTAGCTGTGGAGATCTTTTCCATTTTGGCTTCCAGTGCTGGGCTTTTGGGATGCATATTTTTCCCCAAATGTTTCATAATTGTGCTGAGGCCTGAATTGAACAACAAGGAGCAGCTCATGAGAAGAAAGCAGATGCAAAAATAATACACAATGAATATCTACTATGGGACAGATAAAGTGGACTTTATGTATCTGCTGATCAAATCATTCCATCCAGTTTCAATTTATTTTCCAATTTACTTGTTCATCCCAACCCTCCCCGCAGAATTACAGTAAAAGCATGTCAATAAAAGATGAAGAATAAATTTGTGATTTTCATGTACCCTGTATGCTATTGAAATATATCTGACCTTAGTTCAAACTGCAACATCATATGCTTTTCCACGGCTATTTTCTATTAAATAATGCTATTTTTAATCATTTTTTTTCATAACAAGTCTTCTAAAATTCTTTGATAGTAAGATTAGACATGGAATTGAGAAACAAAGAGGAAATTTCTGCAATATTACTTTAGTAAATTATCTTAGGAGTTGATATGTAAAAAGATAAATGGTAGTCATTAATGAAGAGTTAAAATTATAGACATAATAAAAATAAATGGGGCTTTTGATTATTTCATCCCATAAAATGTTGTTGAAGTAACTGTTGGACAAACCTCTTAAGATACTTCCTCCTTCTCCTCCTCCTCCCAATTCATCATCATCATTAAGGATGATACCAACTGGAGTGAGGGGGATCCTTACATTTTGAAAAATAGACTCAAGATTCAAAAGGATTTTACTGACTTGAGCATTGGGTCCTCTGTGCTCCAACAAGAAACAGTTCATTGGTGAGAAAAGTAAGGCCCTGCACTGAAGCAGAAAAACCAAATGTACAGATACAGGATAGGACGTACCTGGCTCAACAGTAGTGTCTGTGAGAGGATGTTCTGGGGGATCACTGCTTAAGGATGAGCCAGTGGTGTACTACATCAGCCAAAAAAGCCAATGTTGTCCTAGGCTGCATCAATAGAGGGACAGCATCTTTGGATGACAAAGTTGTCGGCTCGGTTTATTTTGAAATATGGGATGTATTTTATCAATGGCTGGAAAAATGGGTTAGAGATTAGGCATTTAATGTGTATTATTAAGCAAAACAAATAGATCCAGACAACACACTGTTTAATAAGCACTTATGCATTGTAAATGTAGAAAACTATTAAAATGTTATAAGAAAATAGTGGGACAGCATCAAAGTCACTGGAAGTGATATTACTTTTCCATAGGAACTAGTAAGGCCTTTGCCTATTGGGCAGCAGTTTTGCCAATTTTTGGACTGGAACAGCATGCTGATTACTGACATTTGATTTGGAGTAGTTCAATGCATTCTACATGGAGCTTCCCTTGAAGACCATCTGGGAACCAGAGTTATGTTTGCATCTCTTTAGGCCCACTTAACACTGCTAGTTTGTGAGTTGTGTTGGCTTCCAATAGGATCCTGTTATGATTCAAGGTTCTGGTTATCACCTTTGAAGCTTTACATGTCATAGAAAGGGGCAACTTGTGGGACCACTTTATTCCAAGAACACCTGCCTGCCCCACTTTCTCCCATAGTAAAGGCATGCTCCAAATTTCCCCTTTTAAACTTTCATACATAGCTGGCAGAGCATGGAAAGCAATCTAGTTGCCAGCTGCCATTCAAAAACAACAAATGACTAAGGATTCATTTTGAGGAAGAGAAGTCTTAGGCTGATAGAGCAAAGCATTTTTTCACTGTGTATCCTGCACAGTAATAAGTACCGGTGTCCTCAGCCTTTAAACCAGTCAGTTGAAGGAACACCTGGTTTTTGGATGTATCCCTTGTGATGGTGATCCGATTCTGAAGAGCACTGTTATACTGAGCGCTTCCACTAGCCCAGATAACACCACTCCATTGTAATGTCTTTCCAGGGGGCTGACGGATCCAGGACACTCCATAGCTTGTGATGGCAAATCCAGAAACTGTACAAGTCAGGTGTAGAGTATCTCCTGGTTTCTTAAGGCCATCACCAGACTCAGGAAGTGTAATCTGTGATGAAATACCTGTATTCAAAAATATAGAAAGGACAAAACAAAATGGGTATCAGGAAATATAGAAAAAATATCACTTGCTATCTTAAAAAATGTGTGTGTGGGGTTTCCCTTACATGCAGGAAAGACCATTAAGAAAGAAATCAAGATATATAGCTCCATGATTGCGGTATGGAATTCACTCTCACCATCTGAAACTGATCTGAACTATATTCTCAATTACCACCTTTAAGAAAAAGCCACATCAGGAATATTTGCATGAAATCACAGATGGTAGAAATATAACCAAGTCACATCATCAATTTCAACTACTGTGTAACAGCAAACCTTGAGCTCATATCAGGAATGTTGCATATCCACACTGCATCTACTATACAATGATATTCGCTTTGGTGAGCAACTTGTGTAGCTGTGGATCAGGTGAAATCCCTTCTAGCTGAATTCAGTTTCGAATGAATTCATAGACAAGACCAAGTTATTTCCTCTGAATTGATACAGAAGGTGTTTGATGAGATGGTCTTCCTGAATTGGTTTTGATTTCCAATCTAGACTAGAGTCCTGAGAATTCTATATTCTTCCATCCAAGTTTTAGAAAAGCCTTATCTTCCTGGCTTGAGGAATATTGGTAGATTAATAAATTTATTTTTCCATAATCGTCAGTATAAATATTTCTATTTAGAAAACTGGTCTTAGAAACTTCAATTATATGAAGGTGTTCTTGCCTTATAAACTGAGCACCAATGGGTACAAACCATTTTATGAAATAACACAGATCCATTGAGGTTAGAGTAGCTATGATCATGGGAGCCTTTGCCTATTGGGCAGCAATTTTGCCAATTCCTGGACTGGAACAGCATGCTGATTACTGACCTCTCATTTGGAGTAGTTCAATGCATTCTACATGGAGCTGCCCTTGAAGACCATCTGGGAACCAGAGTTATGTGTGCATCTCTTTAGGTCCACTTAACACTGCTAGTTTGTGAGTTGCATTGGCTTCCAATAGGCTCCTGTTTTGATTCAAGGTGCTGGTTATCACCTTTGAAGCCTTACATGTCATAGAAAGGGGCAACTTGTGGGACCACTTTATTCCAAGAACATCTGCCTGCCCCACTTTCTCCCATAGTAAA